TAAATATTTTACCAGAGGATTATTCATCCTATATGATGATCTCAGCATGAGCATCATCAACTGGTAACAGTTTTTGGGTGCGTTCGTTAATAGCGGTCGCTCTGCAATGGGAGTATGCTGCTGTTTGTAGGCATTTAGGAACGATGGCGGCACCTGCACTATCAATAGTATCATGATGGAGGAATCTATAATTCTAAAATGAGCTTTTAGAGGCAAAAGAAGGGTCCCAATTGTAAAATTTAACCATTAAATGGATTATTTGTTGAAAGAGCATTCAAAGTAGCCACAAAAACAATTAGAATGCTCACGCAGAGTTACGTGGAGGTATAAAAGAGCGCACCCTTTATTACATTTCATGTTGTACGAGGGTTTTACCCAATTCCCGAACCGTGTTAGAGTGAATCTGTGCTATAGAAGTGCCGTGTTATACAGCGATGTTCCCAATTCCCAAACCGTGTTAGAGTGAATTTGTGCTATAGAAGTGCTGTGTTATACAGGGGTTTCCTGTATTTGAATTGTTAGGTTATAACACTACATTTTTCCACTTATTAAAAACTAAAAATTAATTAATGAATAAGAAAAAATGGTCAGGACAACAAATACATTTTAAAATTCACCAATTATTGATTAAATGTCAAGCAATTTGGCCTAGAGGTAGGCAACGTAATCTGGCAATTGTTTGGCAGTAATCTAGAAATCAGGTTAATGGATGTTTATATTAAAATTCACAAAATATTAATAATTGAAGATCATCCTGACCATTTTTTATTATTTATTAATTTTTCAATTAATAATTTGAATTTCTTTTTCACAAATCAAGACAAATGGAAAATTATGTTTTGGATTAAGTTACTTGCCTACGGCGCAACGTCTAACGTTTACCATATTTAAAGCCTGTCATTTGAGATTAACTACGGACGATCCAACAAAATTCGGTAAGTCAACAAACTCGACTAATTTAAATCTTATGTAGCATGAATTTTGTTACGATTGAAAACAAATTTACGCATTACAGCACCGTATGTTTCCGTATTGATGTTAAAAAACGGCAAAGTCATCCAACAGAGAAAAACAAATTCCTGCCAAGGTTCCAGCTTTCCGGTATTCAACGAAGTACTCTCGTTCGACTTGCCGCTGANATTAAATATTTGTTAAAAATTAATTTTTTATAAAAATAAATATTAAAAATACTAACTACGAGGGCGGTTTTTTCCAAGCTCCAATGGTCCATAAAACAAAGACAAGCGTAAATAACAAAATGAATTTATTACTAAAAGTTCGGTACAAACATCGTTATTTTTCGACATAATCACCATGAAGATTGAGCATTTGTCATATCTGTGGACGAGCTTTTCCATCCCCTTGTCATAGAATGTCATAGAATGAATCCCAGTGAATTGAGATGGCCTTAACAACGTTGTTTTGAAGATCGTCATTAATTCATTAGTCTCAAACCACTGCCCTGCTAGCCACGTTTTCAGTTCAGAAAAAAAGTGGAAGTCTTCAACACCTTTAAACACTCAGCGTATAGCCCCGATTTAGCGCCGAGCGACTTTCACCTCTTTCCTGATCAGGAAAAGTGGCTAGGAGGGCAGAGGTTCGAGATTAATGACGATCTTCAAAACAACTTTGGGCCATCTCAATTCACTAACGGCAACATTCTATGACAAGGGAATGGAAAAGCTCGTCCACAGATATGACAAATTTCTCAATCTTCACGGTGATTATGTCGAAAAATAACAATGTTTGTACCGAACTTTTGGTAATAAATTCATTTTGTTATTTACACTTGTCTTTTTTTATGGACCATCGGAGCTTGAAAAACAGCCTACGTACGAAAGTATTTGGGTAAATGCCCGGGGCTCCTTTTTTTTAGAGTTCAGAGTAGGATACCCCTATGAGCGCCTCTGCCCACCATAAAATGACTTGGTATTTAATTTTGCCGGAGTCGGAGTCGGCCTACTAAAATTATCAAGTCGGAGTCGAGTGTTTTTTTACCGACTTCGCAGCCTTGCAATGCACCAGCAAAGACTAAGTAATTTAGCTATAATTTCAATTGAACATGAAATCTTAGACAGCTTGGATACAAGAAAATTAATAGCAGATTTCGCAGACATAAAGGCAAGAAGAATTCTATTTCTGTAGATAAATATTTATATGGTTTTACACTTAAGTAAACAAAAATAACTTAGTAATAATATATAGTTTTTCTTTGTAAAATATTTTTCTTTTTTCACACCGTTATGAGACAACTCCAAAGACCCTTTCTGGCAAGCTCAGCGTAGGTAGTCGTAGTTAAACAGATGCATAATCGGTATTGCACACGAGCGTTCAAACAGCTAACGGCGCGGCACCCCTGTTAACGAGCAGCCTTTAAACGCAAGATTAATTGAATTATTTGGATCGAGAACAGTGTAATGGCTTCAGTAAATGTGGCCATGGTTACCCAGAATGCAGTTTGAATATCAATAATTTAAACTTTAAAGGAACAACACAGGAACGAAAACCTCTCCAAGAATTTTTCGGGTAGTGGTATCTCCCGGATATGTCGGGTACTCTCCCTCAACATCGGCCGAGGGCTAGTAAAAAGGCCCTCCTAATGTCCACAGAAGAATGAGAAAAACGGAAAAATAAACAAACTGCAGGCACCAACTCCACAAAATCATAGACTATTTAGTGAAATTTACTTTGTTAAATTAATTGGGCTGTTACTTCTATTTACTTTCACAACACCCAATTGAGATTAAATCCAATTACGTTCAATTTTACTAAATTACAATAAACGACACAATTTTAAAACTGTCATCTTGTACTATTGAAGTAATGTTGTGGAGAAAGTAAAAAGGTGACTATTCGTAACATGTCGGTAAATTCTCATTTACGACCACCCCCCGCTTTTACGCCAGGTAAATATTTTCTGACGAATGCCATATTTTCCTGGATCATCTCTATACATTATGTGGGTAGCCTGAGGTAGGACGAGGTCGTACCTCCTTTTGATAGGCAACAGTTCGGTGAGAACTGCCCACTGGTCAGTGGATGACTTAGAAAATGCTTTTTCTATCCCGGAAAGTCGGGACTCTTTTGTCAGGTCGAGTGGAGGAGGTGAGAGGGGTCGTCGGTAAAGTGTAAGCGATACTCGAAATAAAGACGACTTTTAACAACAAAACAACATTTATTGAGACGATAACATAACATAAATACATTGAGCTTATCTCGAGCGGACACGCGGGAGTGGAGGGAAACGCGCCGAGAGAGAGTTTACATTAATGGGTATCATACCTCTACGATTTCGGATCGGACGGTCGGACGTTTTCTAACCGGATCGGACAAGTTGTCTTGAGGAACGGACGGTGGCGATGAGGATAGGCACGGGGTTTCCCCGATCATGAACGGTGATGATGGACCGTGTTCACGGACAGCGACGACGGACCTGTTTTTCTCGTCGTCACCCCTCTTTTATCCCTTTCGTCACGTTACTGGGTTTCACCAATCGGCGATTTTTAGGATAAGTTCCTCATGAGGAACTTATCCTAAAAATGGCCGATCTCGAAACGGCTCCGTGAGAAGGAAATGTATATATCCTTTTTCGTAAAATCTCGAAAAATGAAGTTTTCTTTGTTTAACTTTAATAAAGATATTTAATTTAATTTGAGCTTCTTTATTTAATTTTATTTTATTTGGTCCGACCCTCACATTTATATATCATATTTATTCGAATACAATACATCTTAATTTCCATATGCTCACCCTTTTCCTGTAGTTTGAAAGTTAACTAAGGGGCATATCTGGGAGGGGTGCTTATGGTGCTGCAACATCCTCATAATATGAAAGCAGTTTTACTTTAAAAATGTTTATTTCTGTTTATAATTTATGAAATCTTCCAAACTAAACGCCGAGTAATTAAATATAAAATGAATTTTAAAAAAGCAATTAACCTTAATAGCGCACAACACTCGAAGTGAACGTAACATGCAGTTCATGTATTCAAGTACTGTTGTTCCTTAGTATCGAAATATGCCCATATTTCTGTCTAATCTTGGCAATGTACTGAGTAATGTACAAAAATTAGTGTCCCTGTACAACCGGAGCAGAGTTTTTGCTGAATAAATTAGTTTTTCTGTTACTTCAAGTTTTCTTCATTAATCGCTCCATAATTTTAATTAAAAAATCGGTATATGTGCAATATCGGTTCGACTATAAAGGAGTTTTACAGGACAATTTACGCCATCATATTCTAATTATACGTGCATTAAAGTGCCGTGATTCATATAATTTTTCGAAAAACATATGCAGGATTTATGTGTGTTTGCAGCAACGTCATCCAGAGCCCCACGTGCTTTATACGTCCCACCTGTCGATGCTATAATGGCCACTTGCATAGGACGGAATTGCTGTTTTTAAAGTCTTGGGAAACATCGCAATTTAAAATAATTTTTTTTTTAAATTTCACTTTTCCGGTGCAAAGGAGTCTCTCTATTCAATTTTAAGTTATATTTTAAAGTTAATATTGTTCTGGTGTCTTTAGTTATATCCCTTCTACTTCGCACAATTTCAATATGTGATCTTTGTATGGGAGCTGCAACATGAAGACAGAATGTCCCACATTATATGGCTGTTTGACGGTTGAAAATGGATAATTATGAATGTAAGATAAGTTCTCTATGATCTAAATCATACTTTAAATCATTAAAACAATGGTAAATTATAATTATTGGTCTTGATATAATTGGAGCACCCTTTAACAGGCAACTGAAGTTACTGAAGACATAACTTCTGGAGTGTAAGTTACATTCTTATAATTACTCAAACTGTAATTCCTAAGTAAAATTTCCTGTATAGCTATGGAGAATTACACACTTAATGATTCTAGAATATGTATAAATGTTTTCTAAATTCTGATTTTTATAAAATCTACACAAAAATAGAAAGATTTTAGAAAGACGCATGCTTGCTGCATTTGTTAGACATCCGATAACCTAAAAAATGCAAAACATGGGTCAATGGATTTACACTTAACTTGTATGGAGTTTTCAATGTTTTATTCAAATGTAATGTATAAATGAGGGTCAATTTTTCCCATAGAAAGTCCTCCCTGGAGGTATTCTTTTGCACCTCATTGCATTGTGTTATTCCATATGATCAATATGTTTAAAATTACACTGCTGCAACAACATCCATATCATCACAATCAGGGTCAAGCAGAATAAAAAAGTAAGGATTTTTCTTGAGAAAAACAATTATTCTTTCAAAACTGCTCTTCACATTAACTATTTTAGTTCTTAGTACAAATCTTAGTATTGCTGATGACACAAACTTTACATTTACAGACATATGAGGTAACTTTAGAGGTAAACAGAAGGGTGCCAGATTACTGTATGTACAGGCGGCCTGCAAATAGGCAATGGAGTGATGTGACTTGTCACCCTTTGGTACAGATTCTTTCTAGAGGCAGATGGGTAAATAATACAGTGCACTGACGTGTAACACAGTACATAGAAATGAAAATGCATAAGTGATCACACTAAAGGGTATCCCAGATAATTTAAACTTTACTAAATTAACTTTGTGTTTTATATGATTACTTAATCCAATGTCTGCTGGATATTTTTTCTGGATTTATTTCATTAATCTTTGCATAGATTACTACTTTTACCTAAGAATATTCAGATTATTTTATTAGTATTATTAAAACAGCTTGCTATATTTGGGTTAAATATACTGATTTTGTAACACATTCAGTTATTAAATAAAAAAATTAATGTATTCCTGTTTTATGTGGGTCCCTTCCGTCATCACCTAGGTGCTACTAGGTAGGCCTGGCTAAACCCAAAATGAGCCAATAAAAGTATCTCTTAGCATTTACAAAGCAAAAAAGAAAACACAACACTAACACGGCTCAAAAATACATATTACTTATTATGAAACAAGAGGGAAAAGGCTTTTAGTATACAAGTTATCACATATGAATTAGAGCTATGCAAGAAGCATCTTCATTCATAATGATATTAAAGATCATATAAGTGATGCTCAGAAGCTTGGGTAGATTCAACTTGTATGAAAGTTTGTACAATTTTATACTATTTGTCGACTTCCACTTACAGGTACAAAGGAAACTTTCACTTAACAGAAGAGGAAAAACTATTAATAATAATAGTATGTGGATCCATAGTGTTGTTAGTAACATTAGGCACAGTGTTTGTTGTGACCGAATGCTGCTGGTTAACTCCCTCCTCACCTAAATCTTGTCTGAATGGTAAATATACATAGCAGTAGTATTTGAAAAAATTTATCAGTTAGATCGGTTAATTATTATTTAATTGTTCAGGTGGTAAAGATAAACTGAAGATGACGCGTGGCGGTAATTTAATATCCGTCCCACCTTTACCTTATTACACGACAGGTTTAAATTCGTTCAGAGATCCATGTTCCAGAAGCACCGACAATTCTATCAATAGCAAATTTGACATAATTCAAAATTTGGATTCGTTTGTATTTGTAAGTACAGTTTTTTTATAATACCCTTACTTGACAATACTTGAGTAATTTGTTGAATATTTTCCAGCCTGAAGAAGATAAAAACATTAACATTGATGTTAATTATGGACAGATCACTTTCTCGCTTCGTTTCATGACAGAAAGTAAAGAGCAAGTGGGACAACTGGCTATTCTCTTAAAGGTAATTAACAGAATGAAAACATTTAATACTTATAAGTCAAAGTAATAAATCTGAGTTGTATAACATTAAACTATGCTACAATCAGAGAGAATTTAATAGTTATCTTTGTTATAGATCCATTTGCTTGCACAAAATGAAATTAACATTTATCTAGAATTAAATCATTTCTATTTTAATTATGTAAATGCAATAAAATTATGTTTAACACAACTAAAAAGAACTAATTTAATATTTTTTTGTCAATTAAATAAAGATGGAAAAGAAGCCATGTGTTTGATTAATAACACGATCTTGTGTTTAATACTCTCATTATTTAGTATGTAAGAATATGGGATGGGTATCAATGCAAGCTGTTTTGTAAAATACATAACAAAATACATTTCATTTGTTTGAAAAATAAACAAAATAGACTATCATTCTCAGAACAGGGCTTCATTTCTAAACTAACAGAGTTGTGTAGCAAGGAATGTCATCCCCACAAGGAATCATCACAACTATTCAAGCCATGATCCTGATGTAGTGGCAAGGCACATGTCATGAAAGAAGTCTGGCTCAGTCTTTTATGCCTTGATATCCATTTGAAAGAGAGAACTAGCCAGATGTCTCTTTAAAGATTAAGTAATCTCACTCAGCAATTATCACTGAGTACAAAATCTGACCTAGAGTATTCTAGCAATATTCCTTGCTATATGTTAAAACTGAACGATTTGGAAATAAAACCCCGTTCCACAAACAAGTTTTTATTTTTCAAACAAACCGAATATTTTCCAATTATTTTCGAGTGTTATATGTAGAAACCTCATTTTGGCTACCTGTACAATATTATATACAAATGTCTTTACTGCCTCAACCAATGGCAGATTACAGAGATGGTTGTCAGATGATTGAGACAAAGATGTTGGCTTAGCTGCTCTGAGGAATCCAAGTTTAAGTGTAATTTGGTCTTGGGAATTTTCAGGCAGCTTAACATGTAGGTCCATCCTTCAGCATCTAGCTAATTTTATTGGATGTGGTTAAATCTACAGCAGGTATAAACAGGTTCTTAGTTATTATAGTGCAGAACTTTAAGTCTTCATTTGGCTCGTGATTAATGAACTACTTTTAAAGGCAACTTCTAGTAAACTAAACTATCAATCAATTATAAATTCTATTTAATATGTTTATAAAAATTAACAAAATGAATGTGTGCATAATGCATAGTGTATTATAGATTGCTACTCACTCCAAATATTATATAGAAGAACAGAGAATTCACTGAGTTCAGCGTTCTTATAACGCCAAACTCAGTGAACTATCTGTTCTTCTATGCATAATGCATTAAAGTTCTTTCTAGTTGTAATGATAACAGAAAATTAAGGCATACATTTATCTAACATTTTCTTTCATACTGTAATTCTCACCATTTATTTTTATTCTAAACTGTCTTAGGAAGCTCAAGACTTACCAGAAAAATTGTATGGCGGTGTCTGCAACCCTTACACAATCATTAAGTTATATCTCAGCAGGGACAGGTGCGTGAAGATAAAAGATGGTGCCATTCCATTCTGTACCTTTCAAAGCAATGTAAAAAGGAAAACAAGGCATCCCCTGTTCATGGAAAACTACGTCACATCTCTGAGAAAGGCTGACTTAAAGAAATGCATAGTAAAATTTTTAGTTTATGATCACGAAAAGTACGCAAATGATACAGAATTAGGAGAATGTACAATCTACTTGAAAGATTATAATTTATTAAAGAATATTCAAATACAGGAACACACAGTTGATTTGACAGCACCTAAAGAGGTAAATCACATTTTTTCAAAGTTAGATACAATACAGAATTCATCTGATTAGAAATCTAACTCAGTTATTTATTTATTAATTTTTCAATTAATAATTTGAATTTCTTTTTCACAAATCAAGACAAATGGAAAATTATGTTTTGGATTAAGTTACTTGCCTACGGCGCAACGTCTAACGTTTACCATATTTAAAGCCTGTCATTTGAGATTAACTACGGACGATCCAACAAAATTCGGTAAGTCAACAAACTCGACTAATTTAAATCTTATGTAGCATGAATTTTGTTACGATTGAAAACAAATTTACGCATTACAGCACCGTATGTTTCCGTATTGATGTTAAAAAACGGCAAAGTCATCCAACAGAGAAAAACAAATTCCTGCCAAGGTTCCAGCTTTCCGGTATTCAACGAAGTACTCTCGTTCGACTTGCCGCTGAGCGATCTGGAAAATGTCGTACTGCTGACGGTTGTCGTAGACAAAGGTAACGGGAACAGAGCATCGTCCGATAACTCAAACTCCAAACAAATCAAGAAGAAATCTTATGTTGGAAAAGTTGCTCTGGGAACAAATACGCAAGGCAGGGGTCGAGAACAATGGAATGCAATGAAGCAACTACCGAGAAAGCTATTAACGTATTGGCACACCTTGAAATGACAAGAAATGTATTGAATATATATGTTTAATCATATACATAGCAAATACAGTTCTCAGAAGCGAAAATGTGAAGAATTTTGCAAAATTTTTAGCATTTTCTTTCGTGAAAGTATGTTTAAATAAAAAACGAATATAGTTATTGATCCACAAACTCGATAATTTTAATATATTCATATACTGTAAGAAGTGACTCAAGTCATTTTCGAACAAACAACAATCAATACTTTTCTTACTTTCCAATATATAGAAACACCATTTATAACAAGCTTTGTTTTTAATGCCATTTAAACACCATTCAAAAACGAAATTTTATATTGATAAATAGGAAAACAATCATGATTTAAAAGGTATTACACCTTAAAAATTTGAAAGATTGTCTGATAATTATTAAATGTGATTTATAGACAGATACAACAACATTTTTTGTGTGTCTGACCAAGCCTATACAAAAGGCTTTCACAAACATGTACAAGTAAACCCTGTTAAAATCTGGTCGAACCAGCAACACTGCGGTCGACAAATGACAGCTCAACAATGATTCCCTGTATCTAGGGGCCGCAGCATCCCAGAACGGAGTCAACTAGATAAAACGGGAATCCAGATTGAGGAGATCGTACAAGATCCTTCCAATGATAAGCCGGAACAAATATACCACACGGCCAACATGTAAAAGTTGAGCAACGATGAGTTTTTAAAAGTTATGTATGAAAGTATCCCCCGAAAAAATAACAAGAAATATATATTTATTTATTTTCAAAATTAATATTTAAATATTTACAGTTATTTTGGTTTTATGGATTTAAACTGTCGAAATTTCTTTTTCGGTTTGATTCCCATCTCCATGTTATTCAGTCTAAGATTCTGCATTTCGTCTGTAGTTAGATCTGTTTCCATTAGTTCTGTCTCGTTCTGAACTTTTGAGAGATTTTCATTTATGTAATGAGCAAATCTCGTCGAAACTGGAAAGCACGAATGGCAATTGGCCAATTTATTTTCACAATTATTCGTCAATCCTTTAATATAAATAAAAATAAGCTTACCAGATTTCATATTTCCAAAATCCCAGACGGTGAAGTTATTTGAGCGATCGTCACCACCAGCAGCAAACAAAAACGGCGAATCGGTAGACAATGCGAGAGCATGTATGGATCCCTTTCAATACAGTTTATTATTTTTCACTAGAGAAACATTAATACAATTAAATATTCAATAAGAAAACCAAAACATACCACATTTAACTTCTTTTCTTCTATAAAATCTGGATGGTTATTGCTGATGTCCCAAATTTTGATTGTACCATCAGTGGATGCTGTCACGAGACAACCTGCGCATTGCGTACTTAAAGAAAGCCCTATAAAAAATATTCAATCCATAAACTTGTTTATCAATACTGTTGAATTTGCCAAATTGACCAACGTACCTGTAACAGCCTCGAAATGAGCTTTGATCACATAAACAGGTTTATCGTTTCTTGCGTCTAAACAGTATACAGAACCTTTATCTGTACTAGCCTTGAAAAATACATGTAAAACTAAGTTGTAGTGATTTATTGCACTATTGAAATCTGCAAAAATGATGTAGACTTACAAGGAAGAAGAAAGGATTAAAGTGATCCCAGATAACTTTTTCTATTTCACCATCCAGCAGCCAGCATTTGTGAGTGTCATCCTTATTGCGACAGTCAAACACTCTCACTGTCCTAAAATCAATAATAATTATTATTCACACATAACCTTTCCCACACCTGGACTAAAGCAGCTTAAAAACAAAGTTCACGACAGGCTGTAAAATGTAGAAGAAAAGTACATTTTCTAAATTTTAAATGTTTTTAGATGTGTCTAAGATATAGGTAATATGCAAGTCTAATATATACAATGGCTATTTTATTAGATATAAAATAGCATTACAAAAAAAAAATAATTAAAACAATAATATCTTACTTATCACAGCTTCCAGTCAGCAAAATTTGACTTTCAAAAGGATGCCATTTAACAGATTGCACCTAAATGGATAAAATTATAAGAATTTACAGAAAAGCAAAAATTTAACCCTATTCAAAAATATGTTACATTCAATTTACATATAAAAACAATATCCAATCATCATCAAATAAATAAATAAACTTTCTTAATTGCAGTAAACCTCACACTTCAGAAATACAGTCAATATGAATTTTCTTGACATTTCTGTGAGGAATTACATAGTTCAAACTGTATTTCCAAGCATGCAATCTATTTTCCCTAAGTTCATTGTTGTAAACAGAGATTACACACTGGAAAATTACTGTATATCTGCACAGATAAGTCAATAGTTGAATCATAAAAAAAGACCCCCAAAATCCAGGGCCATCTTACGGGACAGAAAAAAAAAATTTGAAATTTATATAAATTAAAACCTTCCATATTTTGAAACTGCGTTATATCTTTATATTTATTTTTTAAACTGCAATTTAGTGTTCTATAGTTTAGTGTTAATATCAACACTAATTCGTATACAATTTATATTATTAAACTTTACTTTTTATCAATATTAGTAATAGTTCTTACCTAAACAGGTCAACTAACTTCACTTTTCTTGAATTGTACATGTTCAGCTCACAGAATTTAGTGGTGTTTTTCTTTTGGTACGGTGATATGCATAACAATGTGTTCTTATTCAAAAATTGCAAAGTAAGATTCTTAACTGTTTTTTCCCCCCAGATTTCTCCCAAAAAATCCTCAAAAGAACCAAGATATTGATTAAACTTAGATATTAAACTATATACTGAATTTATCCCTACATACTTATTCACAGAATGTCTCCGGAAACACTGAGAAAACTATGATGGGCATATAGCACAGTTGTTCTTTAATATCAGCACTAATTCGTATATAATCTATATTATATTAAACTTTCCTTTTATCAATCGTTTTTATCCTAATTTAATATTAGTAATAGTTCTTACCTGAGCAACTCAACTAACCTTCATTTTTTTTTGTTTAGTTTTCAGCATCTAATGGTGTTTTTCTTTTATAATGATTTGCATACCAATGCATTCCTATTTAAAAATTGTGAAGTAAGATTTTAACTATTTTCCAGATTTCTTTAAAAAAACACCTCAAAAATATCTTCAGAAAATTTTTCCTATTTTTCAAAGAACTTTTCGTTTCCCAAAATTTTTTTCTTTTTAAAAAATCTTTTACATGTATTCTTAGCCAATTCTCGTAGATTTTTAAACTTAAGTTTTTATTTATACAATGTTTATTTTTTAGAATTTCTATACTCTCTTTAAATTTTCTGCTGTAAGTTTCTTTTTCTTTATGTAGGATCTTTACATTATTTTGGTCTATATTGCAGTGATTTAACATATAATGTTCAAGAAAAGCTGAGTTAATTCTATGATGTTTTAAATCTGCTACATGCTCTTTTAGTCTAATCTTCATCTTCCTCTTAGTTTCTCCTATGTAAACTGTGCTGCATGCCTGTTATGGGTTTTTTTCAATATGTCAGGAAATCTTCTATGAATAAGTATGTAGAGATAAGTTCAGTATATAGTTGGATATCTAAGTGTTAAATATATTAACTGTATTACTTTTTATAAGACTTAATAGAAGTTTGAGAAGTCTTTGAAGCCCAGCAAAGTCTAATTATGAAAGTCTAGGTCTTGTATGTACCAAGTAGAATTAAATTTTCAGCCTGGTAATTGAAATGGTCCAATATATAGTGTATGATCCCCGCTTGTGGAAATATGCCAAAAGATGGAATCTGTGATTTTAAAAGCCATGTCATGTGCTATTTGTAAATTCATGGCTTTTAAATTCATATGTTGGGTTATGATGTGTGTAAAAATTGGTTTTATATGTTTTTAGTTGACTGAGCAGGGGTGAAACGGAGCCCGAAACATGTGTATTAATGCCTATCAACAAAAACCGAAATAAACCGAAAGTGTTGGTTATTACGTTAAATTGCAGTTTAAAAAATAAATGAAAACCATTATGACAAACTGTAATTATTTACTGGTAAAGAGTAGGTTATGTCCACAAAATAGAATAGCCCATATTACGTTTTTTGTGAGTAGGTCATTACCCGAATGCCCAAATCAGTGTGAATGTTTGCAACAATCACAAAGCAGTGCTGCCAGATGCAAGAAAATAAAATTTGAAGTTCTTTCAAAAAACTATGAACAGGACATAATTCCGTATATGCTATACAGTGTTATTATCCAGATGATGATTGTTGATTTAAACTAAATTCATAGGCTGCTGACAGTTTGGGGGTCTTCTTATAGGACAGATATATGCTAAAATTATAAAACTCTGATAAAAATTTATACCTTGTCTTATCTGCACAGATATATTGTAAGTGAGCTGTTCTGTTTTCCCTAATAGAATGGCTCACTTAATTCTTCTCGAGAAACTATCATTACATCACAAAATGGAAAGTGCACTTTACCAACATACCATCAAAGAGAAAAGTTTCTATATTAGTACAGGTAACCCCCATATAACACAGGAGTTACATTCCAAAAAATTGCCGTGTTATACGAAACAAAGAACTAGTGCAAAAAAGGGGGTTAGGTTCCAAAAATTAAAAAACATGCTGTTAAATCCTTATTTAAATCGGATTTATTATTCATTTTTTTCATAGGTAAAATACTTATTTATTATTTAAGTAAATATTTTAGGAGAGGATTATTCATCCTATATGATGATCTCAGCATGAGCATCATCAACTGGTAACAGTTTTTGGGTGCGTTCGTTAATAGCGGTCGCTCTGCAATGGGAGTATGCTGCTGTTTGTAGGCATTTAGGAACGATGGCGGCACCTGCACTATCAATAGTATCATGATGGAGGAATCTATAATTCTAAAATGAGCTTTTAGAGGCAAAAGAAGGGTCCCAATTGTAAAATTTAACCATTAAATGGATTATTTGTTGAAAGAGCATTCAAAGTAGCCACAAAAACAATTAGAATGCTCACGCAGAGTTACGCAGAGGTATAAAAGAACGCACCCTTTATTACATTTCATGTTGTACGAGGGTTTTACCCAATTCCCAAACCGTGTTAGAGTGAATTTGTGCTATAGAAGTGCTGTGTTATACAGGGGTTTCCTGTATTTGAATTGTTAGGTTATAACACTACATTTTTCCACTTATTAAAAACTAAAAATTAATTAATGAATAAGAAAAAATGGTCAGGACAACAAATACATTTTAAAATTCACCAATTATTGATTAAATGTCAAGCAATTTGGCCTAGAGGTAGGCAACGTAATCTGGCAATTGTTTGGCAGTAATCTAGAAATCAGGTTAATGGATGTTTATATTAAAATTCACAAAATATTAATAATTGAAGATCATCCTGACCATTTTTTATTATTTATTAATATACTTTTATTATTGTGTCACCACCAGAAGAAAATTTTTTAGTGTTTTACATAGCGAGATAGACACCATACTTTGATAAAAGTGATGACTCTGCTGTAAGAATGTTATGCTTCCAAGGTGCAACAAGGACAAAACAAAAATACATTGTTTTTGTATTCTTCAATCATTTTGTGAATTTTAAAAATTAATTAATTAATGAAAACACCTGACTATCAATAGGCAGTGGTTCCATCTCATAACTAGTTTAATTTCAAATAAATTAAATTTGGTAATTTTATAAATATCTTGAAGATAACACCATTCCGAGTCAATCTTATCGTCTACAAATTTCTAAATTTGTTACTTAAATTAAAAATTACTTATTATTACTAAAATAGTGATGCCGTCTACTTAAAGTCTAAATTTTATTGTAATTAATTGACAGTCTTGGAAAATCCTGTAAAAATTTGACAAAAATTAATTGCTGTTGCATTTTTCTAGGATTTTAGCAGAATTTAAATAATCTATTTGTGTTATCCTTGAGATAGAAGCATTATAAAAGCATTTTAATGTCACCACTAGAAATTTTATTCACCTTTTCTGTATTTTTCTCAAATTTCGTAACGGGTTTCTCTTCTGATATATCCCATATGAGAGTTGTGTAATCTGCAGAGCCACTTGCCAAATTATGTCTGTTTATATAACACAAAATTTGTCATTATTTAAGTATTTTGTAAAAAGAAAACAATGAGTATTTTACCTAATGTGCTTATTCCAAGATATATCCAACACAGCTTCTGAGTGACCACAATATTTTGACTAAAATTAATAAATAAATAAAAAAGGCAATTAAAAACAAATATAACCCACAATTTTTATCAAAATTGAATGGATTTAATGTTAACTTTAGCTTTCTTCTTCTTCTTGGCAGTCTTTCCGAGAGTGTAAGCTGGCTCTAGTGCATCCACCACATCAATATCCCAAATACGTATGACTGGCGTCATATCGCCAACGGCAATGTAGTTTCCTGAAACAATTTTTTAACTTATTATAAGCAAATTGAACTTTGTACATCACAAAAATAATTTTCCGAATAGCATACCTGGAGTTTCTTCGCTCGGATCAAAATTCAACCATTCCAGAGCTAATGGATATGCAGGCAGAATCGTATCGTGATGAACGTACAGATCGTCCTCCTCTTCATTATAAACTAATAGATACACAAAAGGGAAAAAGCGTCTCAGATAAATAAGTATAAAAAAATAATCTGTAAATAAACAAGATATACTTACCATAAATTTCTAACACGCTACAGTCTTCGTGAACTCTACCGACAGCAACAAGGTTATCTGTCGGTCGAATATGAAAATCTTCATCATCGTCGGTATCATCCTCCTATTGTAAGTAAAATAATTTCAGAAGCAAGCTTTTACGTAAAAGTAATGTTTGATATCACAAAATCCATAATTGATGCACTGTGCAATAATCAACAACAGGCAATTGATATTGATTGCAGTATTAACCAACAAAATTCTATATCTAAAGCAAGTATGACAAATTAAACAGCTTCATTTCTAAAGCATACACTTATTTAAAAGCTTTACATTTGTATACAAAATTAATTGTGTTAATTATATTTTAATTACTAATTATGTACTTTTATGTTTGCTTAATAGAAATTTATAACAATCATCAGAAAACTTGAGAATCTTTTTCATTTTTTTATATTTTAACATTTATACTATTGAAACCAATAGGATCAAACAGCACATCTGTGAACTGCAATGTACTAAAATGTGTTCTGATATTCACTAGTGAGTTCGTTGAATAGCAACTAATGTAAATTGCACTCATCAAGCTGTGGATGTGGTACTTATCTATTCTTCTTGTCTTGTTTAGATTAGTTAGGCTATTTTGTCTCTTTTATGGCTCACTAAATCAGATTGTATAGTTTAATATTAATATTAGTTTAAGCCTCCAGTAATAGCCACTTGGCACTAACCCTACTAGCTTTTCATAGCTGCACTGCATATTGGTGTATACTACAACTTATGTTTTCTGTTAGACCCATTGGGAATATGGGCTAGCAGCCTAAAAACTGCATGCCAATATTAAATGTAGAAGGATCAGTAGCCAAATGTGTAACAGAGGCTTTGGAAGAATCTAAAAGTTTTCAAGTTCTTCCTTTCTCACCTGTCCAACTCCTCCCCTTCCCTTTCTTCTGCCAGGTGTACCTTGTGTACGGCTGTAATCCTTCATAAAAGTGTGATTATAGTGAGTTCTGATGAGGCAATGTGGCTACCTCTGCAATTATATTATTAAAATCATTTTTACTACTCTTCTGTATTAACCCACAGATATTTTGACCAGATAAGTCTGCAAATGCAAATACAGTCCACATTTGCTCAACATCTTGTTCGGTTGACAGATATTCCAGTAAAAGCTTATTAAATTATTCATTTGTGTATCAGTTGTGGCTGAGACTGATGCATACTGGAATGTACCCATTGACTGATATTCAGGCAAATAAAACAAATAAAAAATATAACACCATATGTTAAAAATGTCAAAATCTAATCAAAACAAAGATAACAATTGAAACTGCTTAATTATACAATGAAATTTGGTGGCAATTTTAATTTCAAGGTTCATTAGCATTGGGTTATTAGATTAATTAACTTCATCAATTTCAATAATTCTCAGTATCAGTAATATCTATGTTTAATAGAATCCAAGCTGGAATGTTTAAATACTTGAAAAAAATTTGAGTTTTTCTTTATGGCAAAAATTTTTGCTATGTTGATAAGCTTGCTTTGAATCTGTCAAGATTCTAAAATTTTAGAATCTCTGACACACCTGCCAGAAAGAAAAATGAGATTGAAATTGTGCTCAGCTGTGTGTTTTTTCAAGTATCATCAATAATGATAACAGCCAGTATTCACTTTTCTACCTTTGATGCTAAAAAATATAGTCGATTATTCAATAATATTGAACACCACTAGTCGTCACTTATAATTATCCAATTAATTATACAGTAAATGTTATTTTCTGTTTACTATCAAACAGAAATCTTACCTTGTCTTTCAATGTTATATAAGGATCATCTTCATTGTTTGCAAAAACAGTCAAATCTGCTAGATTCACCATAGGATTGGAAGAATCTAAAAAAGTTTTCAATACATTATGCATTAATGTTATTTAATTTGATATTTTTCCCACTTCATTTTGTTTTATAACATTAAACTAAATTAAGTTAAACATTGAATAATAAAGGAGAAAGGAATGTTTTTAACAGTGTGATTTTGATGAAGCAGAAAAAAATGCTGTTTATAATAAATTATTTGAACAAACAACTCAACAACTCCATGCAATCAACCCGTTAACTGGGCACAAACTCTCAATCAACTGTCAGCATTCAGTAGTTTTATTCATTGGATCATTGGTGGGCACAGATAAAATGGAAGCAGCACAATTATACATTGATTTACTGACAAATTAATCATATACCACAGGTATTTGAGTTAGAAAAATAATCTACATTAGATTATAAAAATACTATACAGAAAGCTAATGGTGATGGTACTTACAGTGCCAAGTATCAAATAGTCTATAGTTTGGAATGCAGCAAAGCTGTAACAGAATGAACTTACACAAACTACAGTCAAATTATGAACTGATCTTAAGTGATGAACATGTTAAATGTTAAATATTTATATTGAGAAGTTACTTTTAAAGTTCAAAACAAAAGTGAGAGATTGAAAAGACTTCAACTGTTAAAATACATCCATCAAGGAGCCTTAAATAAATAAGGAGACTTTTTTAAGTTCAAAAACTTTCATTTACATGAATAGTGTCTAAATAAGTATCTATGTAAAGCTAATTTTCAATGAAGATACTTTAAATGTGAAATTGTATAACTAGAAAAGAACAGTTCTAAGAAAAACCTCAAAAGCTGGAAAATAATAAAAATAAAGACACCTTCTGTACTAATTCCAGCAGATACATTTATTGGAAAAAATGAATGTTTTCAATCACTTTCATAGATCTTTGTCAAATTATTATACATTATATGTTATTATTCTTAGCAGTTGTATATCGAAGGTGATGTGTAGAAGCTTAGCTTCATCCCAATGTAATAACATAATAAAAATCTCTGAAAGTCATTGAGAACGTTCATTTTGGTAGTACAGTATATCTTAAAACTAAACAATTAATTGACCAAATGAACTTTGTAGTTTTGAATATAAGACAAGAAAAATAAATTTATTCTAGCTTTACAAATAATCACAAAATTTAATATCTCACAATGATTATAACAAAAAGGCATGAATATGGTATGTGTAAATTTACATTTTTAACAAGATAATTAATATCATCATTAATTTTTAAAACACTTATAAGAAAACCACAAAATTCATTTAAAATTATATACTGACCATCAACGTCATAATTATCCAAGTCATACTTTAACGATATATCTTCATCGTTCAGCACACACTCTTCTTTAAAGGCCGACTCGTCCACGGACTGCACTGTCAGATCGCCATTTTCATTCTCGACATCTCTGTAAAATAAGAAAAATGTCACCATTTTCATTTATTCAAAATGAATAAATGAACAGCCAAGTACAAAAAACAATTACTTAATGTCCTGTTTTGTTTCATTTATCAGCTTCTTCAAATCATCTTTCGAAAGATGCACCTGAAAATCAAATCACATAATTAATAATGAAATAACCACTTAAGCAGAATCTTATCTTTCAGCATGCAATAAATCCTATAATTTTTAGTAGATCTTATCTTAAGAATCATAAATCAATTCTATGAATCCAATTTTAATGGAGACTATTTCTATTGTTTTACATGGATTCTGATAAAACCTGACATTTGTCAGGTTTTAACAATGATTATCATCCATACAAAACAGTAATTAGCCTTTTAATATCTAAAGGCAGTTTCAAATATTTGGTATTTGACAAATGCCAAGTAAACATTTGGCCAAGACCAAGTAGATTCGTCCCCTTTGATTTGACACGATATACAATCAAGGAATCAGAAACAGCAAATACCAAATATTTGTCAACCAGAGTCATGAGTAAAGAACCCACACTACTTTGTATTGACCAAACGTTTTCTCAGTACTCGGCAAATACCAAATGTGTGAAGTCACATTAATATAACATTTTAAAACAAACGGAAGCAAAAACTTCTCACATTTTTAAATTAACTTTACATTTCTTCACCCACTCAACCCTATTTACATACTTATAACAATTATTTATTTCTAACAATCTTCTTTACTTGTCATGTCATCATCCTCATGTAATTTTCTTTTTAAATTTTTGGCGACAGTTTGAGGTGGGAGATCATTCTTTTAACTTCCCTTTGGAAGTCTCCCCCAAGATGTCATTTCCAGGTTGAAAACGTATTTGATTTGCTCTCGGCAGTCATCTGAGTAAGACAAGTTTCGTTTTTAGTTTTTGGAATTTTGTCCAAGTGAGGTGCAGTGGTCTATCTTTAATAAAATAAAATGCCCCATAAATAAATAGAAAAAAACTAATTAAAAGTAATCCCCAAACAAAATAAAACAGGTTAATTCATTACACAGTTACTGGGAGTTTTTATCTTGTTATAGTTTTGTGTATTTCATTCATATTAATTTATTATCAAATCAATATATTGTTTTGTTTATTAAACTGAAAGACTAGTACAGTGATACATTCAATGATTGAAACCTACAGAAAAGTTGCAAGAAAAATTTAAAAAATAGTAAAATAAAAACAAAAAGAATAAACCAAGCAGAAAAACTGACATAGTGGATAAAAAATCAAGCTAGACATTTATATTTTCATATGTATTTTTTTCAGCTGTGACAGTCTAGAAGTCGTCTAAATTGTAATATAAATTATATCATTTCTGTTTAATTAATGTGTTAATTTTAATTAGAATGTGTTAATCACATTTTGAATGTTTTGCTGTTGCTGACTTGCTTTTATCCGAGAGTTTGTTATTGAGGGTGATACTTTCTTCCCCATTGGGCATTATCTGTATTAATTAAAAAAATAAATAAATACATAAATCCCCAAAAGACTTTTTTGAAATAATTCTAATAGAGATTTGTGATTTGACAAGTTANTTCCAACCACGTGCTTTACATAATTTGAAAAGTCCGTTAAAAGCTGTCAACTCGAAAATAAAGGTATTCAATTTCGCCTGAAGATGACGGTTGTAAACTGTTGAAAGTACTTGCGAGTATATCTGAAATTTAACAAATCGCTGTCAGTAATGCCGCAACACAAAAGTGTCCTATATTTAAAATCAAATTTAAATATGATAAACTTGTCCTATGACAACCAAAGTACACAGGTACACATTCACAATAGACCTTTCCTGCAGGCAATCACCGGAGCCTGAGTTCTTATCCTCCTTACAATTAGGATGATGGCTCGGGCTTGCTCCAATAATTACCTGCAAGGAAAAGTCCATTACTTGTAAGACAACTGCCTACAAGGAAATATTGCTGTGAACTTATGTAATTTTGCCATTATGGTAATGGATTGTAACATTAACACATTACAATTATAATTTTTAATACTGTGTTTAAAATTCTACATAAATTTAAAACAATAATTAATTCGTATCTATAGTACATATATATAATATAGGTGGCCAAACCTTGTGATTATAGGAGCCATGTATAGCATATCAGAAGTATCTAAAAGCCTCATTCTCTATTGGAATAGTATTTTATATTATTGGTTAAAATACTGTAGTTATCACTGTTATTTTATTTTACTGGTACCCTTTTTTTTACTCATTCTCTCCTGTGGACACTAACAGCGTCTTTTTCGAGCTTATTATAATTTTGACTGGGTCCACAAAGGGGCAGCAGGTCGGTGAGGGATGGAATCTGACATATCTGGACCAACCACCCATCAAAAATTCATACCAAGATTCCATCCTAAATCCACTATAGCAGTATACTGGCACCTTAACAGCCTCAGCCATCCAGCCAGGTAATAGTACTTTATGACCAGCTAGATAAACACACATACTTAACTCCTTTGATTTTATGAATTGTACCTTAATCTTGAACAGAGAAATGAAAGCTGAAGTTGAGAGTTAGGCTAAAATGCAAGCTATTCAATATTGTAGCAAATTGATTAGATGTGACATTGAACTAAATTTATACGATCATCATAGATTCAACCATTGACCATGTGATCACCAATTTGACATCACGGTATGTCATATCCTTCGATGGAAAGTAAGTGGTCCCTTTGATAACTCTTGGTTCCAACATTTTGGATTTTCCATGCAACAATTTCAAATTGAAAAGTTTTAAACTGGTTAAATAAATCACACAAAAAACACATTCAAGCACTTTTCCAGCAATATTTCTTTTTATGACAAATGTTTTCTGCTTCCTTGATAAGCCTGCCTCAGATCTGTCAAAGATTCCGAATTTCAATGTTCTAAATTAAAATGTTAACTCTCATGATGACACAATATAAACAATTTTATACACCAGAAGTTAGAGAATACATGGTCACAGAAAACTTGATAGTCACATCATTTTCAAAATTTAAAATTTTAATATCTGTAGAAGACATATCAGCACAAACCTACATTCCAATTTAAAACACTAAAAGTTGGAATCTTTGACAGACCTAAGGCAGGTTTATCACAGAAGCCAGAAGCATTTGTTTCAAAAGAAAATCATTGATGAAAATGTGCTCAAAAGGCATTTTATGTGATTTAAACTCTCTTCTGGCTTTGACTCTATTAAACCTAGATCATCATAATTATCTTGTTGCAGACAAAAAAAAAATAACATACAAGAGATTGTAACAGGAAGCTATAAACAATACATTGTGATCACGGGTTCTCATCACTTTGTAAATAAGACTTTGGACGATAGTTTTGCAGACTGTTTCACATAAATATGCAAGGCAGAATTAAGAAGCTGGAATACATCAAAATCCTGGAGCACTGATTTGGATTTAAATGTAAAGATATTGAAGTTCCATGAAACCATGCTGAAATAATAGTGGGTGCAGAGGTGATAACAAATGTAACATTCAGAAGCATGTCACATTCACAAGGCTACATTGAAGGAGCAGCCAATTAATTTCAAGGATGTTAATACTGGAAGCATGGAAAGTGTTCCCGCATAGCAGTATTGAATGACATTTTAATTATTATTATTTGAATATATTTATTTACCTATATATTTTACTACTTAAACTACTGTTATATATAACAAAAGGAAAGTATAGCAATCAGTCAAAAACTAACCCTCCTGAATTTTTTGGGCTCAGGACACCTTGAAACATTAAAAATTTCAAAAAATTTGGAGGATTTTTCTGTACGTATGGCACAGTTTTGTTAACCCTTTTCAAACCTTAATAACTCTTGTGCTTCCTTTCAAAAATTTCTAAAAGTTTGTATGAAGATTTGTTTATCAAGGGACTGAAACTATTAAATTTTGGTGGTTAAAGGTTGACAGGATAGAGAGATAAAGAGGGGTTGTGTGCAATATCTCAATTAGGGTTGGACATAATGACAATTTTACCATTTACAATTATTTATAAAACATCTCTACCCTCAAAATTAAACTTTTTGCCATTTTATAATAGTTGAAAATATAAAAATTTTTTAAATAAAATATGATAACAGATGGCATCACTAAATATTGCCAGGAAAGTTAAGCAATGAGTTACTTAACTTTCCTGGCAACATTTGGTGGCTTAACTTTATCTTTAAGTAACTTGTTGCTGGAATTTTTTTTATTTATATATTTATTTATTATCAACATGAGCTTTCAAAATCAAAATTTGTTCCATCAAATGCAATTCTTAAATCAAACACATTTTAGAAAAACTGTTAGGTATTCATTCGTTCAGAATGAAATTTTTCCTGAAGATTGTTTAAGATGTTTGAAAGTGTTTGAATAAAGAAATTTTTACTGCATTAGATGATTTTAAAGTTGGTATTTATAAAAAAAAATCATCTTCTTGAGAGGAAAATAAATTTGTTCAAAAGTTAACATTTTGACTTTCAAAGTTTTTGAAGAAATTACTAAAATAAACTGCTTATTAAATTCTTATTATAATATTTTCACCATGAATGAGGCCTATGAAATTGGAGTGGTGGGATAAGACAACAGAACACATGGGCAATCTGCCAAGGAAAGGATGCCTCTCAGCACACTGTCCCCTATTTAGGTATTAAACATGGAAAAACCCTCCAGAAAATGCCACACAGCTGACCTGTTGATGGTGTGTTAACATGCATCAACTAACACTATGTGATTGCCATAGGCTCATCCTATAAAACTGGTTATCATCGTAAAATGTAGTTCTTTAACAGCAATGAACTATACTTTTCATATGAAATTATTTAAAACATAGTATACATTTTGTTCAAAATGATTTGTCTGATATATATACAAAATAAGAGTTGTTATAGAAAACTACAAAATACTTGTTAAAATCTGTAGAATGTAATCATCCTTATCCATAATTGGCTTTTAATCCACAATGTGATGCAAACTAAAACCACCATTTAAACAATCTACTATCAGATTAGTTTAATTACAGTATCTGTTCTGTGTGGGTTTAAATTAATTGAGGTTTTATCTAAATAAGAAAGAAAAAATATTAATTTTCTCAAACATAATTTTCTACAAACGATTTAATA